CCCAAGCCCCCCAGAAGCCCCCCGAGCCCCCCGCACCGCAGAAGGCCGTGGTCGCCAGGCGGCTCCGCTCCAGGGGCGGCGCCCACTTGCTCCAGATGCCGTGACAGGCGGGGTAGGTCACGCCCTGCCGAAAAGGGGCGGGGTCAGCGCTGAACACGCCCCCCGGACACGCCCACACAGACACACCCTGATGGATGCAGTGCGGGGGTGCCAAGGGACACACCCAGCCTGGCCACGCCCCCCCGGCCACGCCCTGGCCAATGGGTGTGTGGGAATGGCCACACCCCAGCCTCCCCAGCTGAACACCGAAAGCCACCTGGAAACAACCGGAAATACCCCAAAAATACCCAAAACCACCCCAAAATTCCCCAAGATCACCTTAAAAACAAACACCCCAACACCCCTTAAAAACACCCTAAAAACTCCTTAAAAAATCCTCCAATCAAAATGAAATGTCCCAGAGCGCCCCAAAGACACTTGCAAACCCCCAAAACACCCAGAAAACTCCCCAAAACCCCTGAAATTCCCCCAAAATCCGCTCCTGACCTCGACCAGGCCCTGCACAACACACAGCGTGATGATGCAGGCCCCAAACACCCAAAAACCCCCAAATCCCCACAAAATCCACCCAAAAACACCCTGCAACCACCCAAAACCACCCAAAACCACTCAAAAACCGCCCCAAAACTGCTGAAACCATCCAAAAACCTCCACAATCACCCCAAAATCTTCTCCTGACCTCGACCAGGCCCTGCACGACACGCACGGCGATGACCCCAGAAAACTCCCCAAAACCCCTGAAATTCCCCCAAAATCCGCTCCTGACCTCGACCAGGCCCTGCACGACACACACGGCGATGACGCAGGCCCCAGACACCCAAAAAGACCCAAATCATCCTAGAACCACCCTAAAACCACCCAAATCCACCTAAATCCACCCAAGGATCCCCAAAAACCCCCAAATTCCCCCGAAATCACCCCAAAATCCCCGCTGACCTCCACCAGGCCCTGCATGACGCGCACGGCGATGACGCAGGCCCCAAACACCCAAAAACCCCCAAATCATCCTAGAACCACCCTAAACCCCCCCAAATCCACCTAAATCCACCCAAGGATCCCCAGAAAACCCCAAATTCTCCCAAAATCTTCCCAAAATCCCCGCTGACCTCCACCAGGCCCTGCATGACGCGCACGGCGATGACGCAGCCAACGTGGGCGCGCGCGGCCGACGGGATCAGCATGTTGAGCACCGAGGTGGACACGATGGCCAGGCCGAACACCCTGCCCGGGGACACCCAGGTGACCCCCGGGGACACCTGCGGGCCCGGCCACGCCCCCCCCGGCCCCGCCCTCACCTGTTGGCGGCGAATTTCTGGGCGATGAAGCCGCCGGGGATCTGCGTGACGATGTAGCCCCAGAAGAAGGAGCCGTGGATCATCCCCACCGTCTCGGGGTCCCAGTTGAACTGGGCGCGCTGGGGGGGACGGGGACGGGTCGGCGGGGCGGGGGACACGCCCTGGACACGCCCTGGGCACGCCCTGGGCAGGTGTGCTGCCCCCACAGCTGTTTGTGGCCCCCGCAGACAGCCCAGAGCCGATCCCGCTGACCCCACAGGTGACCCCACAGGTGACCCCAGAGCTGACCCCAGAGCTGACCCCATTAACCTCATACCTGACCTCTCAGGTGACCCCACAGGTGACCCCACAGGTGACCCCAGAGCTGACCCCAGAGCTGACCCCATTAACCTCATACCTGACCCCATAGGTGACCCCACAGGTGACCCCAGAGCTGACCCCATTAACCCCATACCTGACCCTTCAGGTGACCCCACAGGTGACCCTGCTGACCCCAGAGCTGACCCCAGAGCTGACCCCATTAACCCCATGCCTGACCCTTCAGGTGACCCCACAGGTGACCCCACAGGTGACACCTGCCCCTGCACCTGTCCGTGGGCGGGGCTGACCCCGCTGACCCCCAGGTGAGCTCACCTGTCCGTGGGCGGGGCTGACCCCGCTGACCTCCAGGTGAGCTCACCTGTCCGTGGGCGGGGCTGACCCCGCTGACCCCACACCTGTCCCTCACCTGTCCGTGGGCGGGGCTGACCTTTTACCTGTCCCTCACCTGTCCGTGGGCGGGGTGGACCCCGCTGACCCCCAGGTGAGCTCACCTGTCTGTGGGTACAGGTGACACCTGCCCCTGCACCTGTCCGTGGGCGGGGCTGACCCCGCTGACCCCCAGGTGAGCTCACCTGTCCGTGGGCGGGGCTGACCCCGCTGACCCCCAGGTGAGCTCACCTGTCCGTGGGCGGGGTTGACCCCCAGGTGAGCTCACCTGTCCGTGGGTGGGGCTGACCCCACACCTGTCCCTCACCTGTCCGTGGGCGGGGTTGACCCCCAGGTGAGCTCACCTGTCCGTGGGTGGGGCTGACCCCACACCTGTCCCTCACCTGCCCGTGGGCGGGGTTGACCATGCTGACCACGGCCACGCCCAGGTTGCAGCGGATGCCGAAGCTGATGCAGAAGCCGATGCCGCAGAGCACGGCGATGCCGTAGCGCCGCGGCAGCCCGCAGCACGTGCAGTCCAGCACCGGCGCCCGCGCCCGCCCGGGGGTCCCGCCGCCCCCCGAGCTCAGCTCCAGGCTCTCGGCCTCGTCCTGCCGCCGCTCCAGGAGCCTGCGGGGCGGGGGGCAGCGGGGCCGGGTCCCCCCCGTGTCACCCCCGTGTCACCCCCAGGTCCCTCTTCCCCCGTGTCCCCCCGTGTCCCCCCGTGTCCCCCTCTCCTCTTTCTCCCGTCT